ATTAATTTTAAACCCGTAATGCGAGTTTGTACGCGTGATAAGTCAGACAATTCAGTGCCATGGCAACGGAGCCACTCGTATGTAATCTGAGCCCATGGTGTTCCGCATCTTCCCCGGCCTCGTTCACAGAACCGAACAACATTGACAACAGCAAAGGATATCGGTTACAATACTAAATTTCAACCAGACATAATCCCGATTTTATGGGAGCCGTCTTCCCGTGATATGATATCAGACTTATGTAATGGCACACTGTCTTAATGGTATCGACACTTGTTTTTGCTTTTAATACATTTGGCAACTATTAAAAGGATGACCAGATTTTCTTCAAGTTGGCTTTTGCAATATGTTTTTTTTTACAATATAGTTGATTACGTTTGTAATGTTGAGCGATGCCGAGTACCTACAATTAGGTTTCAGAAATCTGGTCGGCAATTGTATGACAATATTCGTGGACAATGATGGAGCCGAAGTTATAGCATGGCAGTATTCTATAGTTTGTCACAGTCATAATCGTATTTTAGAAAGTCATTGGCCTATTTTTTTTTTTTCATAATTTTTTTTCTTCAATTTCATCAAACTACAAATATTGCGTTTGAAGGTCATTGAATGTCGTTAGATGAAAAAACAGAACCACGGGAATTGTTAATGTACGTACTAGTGCTCATGGGTATTCGAGAATTTCATTGTCTAACCGACGTGACTTGTAAGTTGTATTTCCTCAGCGTTCACTTCCCGGTGAAATGTTCACATGTGTGCTGCAGACAACATTTTCACTTCACGATAAATCATAGCATGTATTTATTTACATACAGTATCAAATAACAATATTAAAAATTACACCTTCCTGTGCATATTGCATCTTCAAAATGCAGATAAATAATTTAGAATAACCAAAAGTATGTCGTCAGCTTATGATTTGAGATATGTCATAATATCTGTACCATAAGAATCAATAGTAAAATTAAAATGCTTAGATATTGAAAAAAACTGCCATTCACTAATTAAAAATACAACTATCTTTTTGATAGATATGCAGGACAGTCAGAATCCCTGGGTGGGGTCGAGACAATTTCCCCAGGAAAAGAAAACACAGGGACTAAAACAAAATATACCCCAAGGTTGCAAATAGTTTATCCAAGTTCCACGTTCCAACAAACTGCACATACTACAAAACAAGCAGACGGATATTACAACATAAAGCATTATAACTCACAATTACGGTAAATGTTTCGCCTCTGCAGGCATACGCACTAACTACCACACTCATCGAAGCCTCCGCCGATGCTGTGTTTGATGGTTTGAACTTTGAACTTAGCGACTATGAATTGCTATACCATTTTACGTAGTGGTTTCAAATTAAAAATATACACAATCTTAAGTCTTTACGGTTGGCAATTAGAAACTTCTGAGAGGGGGGGGGGGTTCAGCACATAGTGAGACCTCGCAACAAAGACCGCTTTATTTATAAAATACACGAAAAGGCAAACAGAATAATACAACAACGTCCTTATTTAGAGAAAAATCTAGCTCAAATGTACATGAAGGAAAAAAGAAAAAGTTTTCATCCCCAGTATCTTTAATAATCGATCTCTTATCAGATTCTGATATGAAATGCCCCCCCCCCGTCACGCCATCGCTACTACACTCGCAGTAAATCGGATTAAAATAGAGTATATATATACTGTTTACTTTTCTTTACTTATTTAATGTTGTCGTCATTGTTTTTATCTTGAATGGCGCACATAAACCAAGTACATTACACTATGGACATACAAGAGTACGTCCATGATTACACTAAATTGTAAATCAGATTGGCCATGGAACCATGGAGCTAGAAAGGGACTAACAAGCGTGGACTGGACTTTCCCCGTGCTGCCTAGTTGTAGACTGTAAAAATGTTGAACGCGCAATACGCACGTACTTTCGACAAACACTAATCTTAAACAAGTAACCTGTAGAATACTGTGTGGGTAATATTTTTTATATTGATTTTTGTTGCATTTGCAGCAAATAGTTACCAAACAATGAGAAATCTATTGGATTGCATATACCCCACAGCTGACTTCACATGCATTGTTCATAGTTCATATGGTGCTTACATCAGGATTTAATTACAACACCTAGGCGGTATGTGGTAATTACCCTTCACTGTGAAGGACAATATGGGAGTTGACTTAAATGACTGGTGGAAGCAAGGCTGGTAAAATTTTGCGAAATAGTAGTTTGTTAGAATTACCAGACACGCAATCGAGACATTGAGGGATATCGCAAGAAATTGACATGACAATAAAAATTCATTAAAGACTGGCACTCCCATGCAATTAACAGCGAGTGAAATTCCTGGGATTGAAACATATATTTTGAAGTCACTGATGTAGGCAACGAATAACTGCAAGTTGACATAAAGACGAGGTAGTTTATTTAATCAGTGGTCAACTAGAGGCTGAAATTATAATTAATTTGTTTATTTCAATTTCTCCTGACGTCTAATAGAATGCACTGGTGAAACACGGTAGTAACTGTGGGTGAAAGGATGTTTTGGGGTGTAGTTTACATTATATATGGAGTGGTAGGGTCGGGTGTAATGTGTTCATTTCCAACTATTATGAAGTCACGTAGAATTTCACTTAATTTATTTTTGCTGACATGTTTTCAAGCATTACATGTGAGTTCAATTTTCACTGCGCTATGTCTCAATAGAGTATGAGGGAAATGGCATATTCACTGGAATTTATTTCAGGGGAAAAATGTTTTCAGTGATAATTAAGTATTGTGACAGATACCCTCCCCGTAGCTTTCATTGCGTATGGAAGTTATTTTCACGAGTGATGCGGTGTATCCTGCTGCCGTACTTTCACGAGCGAAGCCACGGGAGGGTGTGGGGTTCTCCCATATTTGATTATTTCATATTAAAAAAAGAACGTGCAACAAATCGGGATAGAAATTTAGATCGGGGAACCCAATTGCCCATTGATATGCTCCAAGACAGTGCTGCGACCTAGCAACGCTTGTCAGTGTAGAACGCGTGTCGCTGTACGTGTGAAAATAAAATAATCAGACGTCTAATTTGAGTCATTGTCTGAATAAATAACTCGTGGATGTTTAAGCGCGGTGGTCGTAGCGCA